TTTGGTCAAACGTAGTTGGCATGCATCATAACTACAAGTTTGATTAAATCTCAGTTCCACCCAATGTATGTCATGCTCCCTTAGTTGCTTAAATTAATTAGAAATTAATATGGACCAAAGTCCTCATACGGTTTTCAATGCTGGAATTTTTATTTAGAATGGAATCCAATGTGTTACGCCTTAGATGTTAGCTCATAATTTATTATTACATTTTCTCACAAATTACTTTATCATCATCTACCAAATTGTCATAGATTATATATAATGGAATGAAATTTAACTTAAATATTGATATTTATAAAAAAGAAATATTATACATACAAATATACTAATTTTGTTCGATTCACAAAGGCATGATAACACAATATTTAAACAAAATAAAAGTAACCCTTGCAAATCAATGTTTCTAGTGTTTTTAATATAGATATTATAAAAAACAAATAACAATGGTAAAATACCATCAAATAAATCTCTGATAGCACATTTTAATCATCACAATTGTTCAACATAATTTAATCTCATCATTAGCTAAACCCTTTTTATTGTGGATCCTAGTGATGATAAATCTCGTAAATGTTTGCAAAAAATACCGTAATTTAACATAATTCAATTCAATTCCACAATATAAATTGAGCATCCCAAACTGCAGAGGTCCTAATTATGCAGCAAACATGTATTGGAACAAGTTCATATTATTAACATAACTCTACTCTCCTACCACTTCATCTATTTCAGCTTTATTTCTTCTTAATTGTTTAACTTGTGATATGTATAATCTTAGGTTCACACTTCATAACAAAAACCAAAATTGAAATGATTTATAACATGAGGTAAAGGTAATCTCTTTTCTAAAAAATGTTCATAATGTAAATAATATGTTATCATCTTATATAATCCAATTAAAAAAAGTGAGAATTGTCCTTATATTATCATGTTTCTAGTGGATGTAAGATTTCTAAATACATCTTTAGCATCGAAGAGGAGTTTTTCATCATACTTCCTCATATATCGAAGATAAATAATTTAATGTTAATCCGATAATAGATAATTAAGTTCACTAGAATTGATTATGATCCTATCTTAAAAATTAAGAAATATCTAATTCAATATTACAAAATCAATTCAATAAAATAATAATTATACTCACCTATATTATATTATTTATGAGACTTTTTGTTTTTGTAAACACCGTATTATTTAATTTTCCTCCAAATAAGCAGAGCTATTCTACACCGTACCACAACTTTTTCTTTTATAAGATTCCATATAGAAAATATGTTGCCAAAAGATACCTTCAACGTTACAAGTGATTCTTCATATGATTTTCAATTAAGTCTACTTGGATGAACCTTTTGGAATTTCTTTTTTCTAAATTCAATAATAATATTTTTTCCAAAATTAAATGTTATCTTGTACATTAACTATTTTTTATTTATTTATAAAAGAATATATTTCATTTAAATATTTTATTTTATTTACAAAATGTTTATAGAAAATCGATCCACACAAACACTAACCTCAAGAATACTAATGTGAAAAACATAGAAAAATGAAAAGGGGATAAATTATTTAGGTTTTCATGATCACATTCAATAGTTTCCAAACCTACAAAATGTGTAGCATATATAGACCTCCCTTTTTGGACTCGCTTGTTCAATAGATCAACTCAGTGATTGTTACTATAAGATATTATGTTGACTGTGTAAGTGAAATTGATCATACTTCTAATATTTTAGATGAATTTTAGTTGACTATGTGGATATTCTGGTAAGCCATGGTCATTGTTTGTTAGGGTTTGGTGACTCTGAATATTTATCTAATAATTTTTTTTCTACAGTTTCAAACTTTTGCCACTTTTGCTGATTACAGCACTCTTGTTATGTATAATTGCACCAAATATGTATATAATATATAATATATTAGGGGTCCATAACAGACTTAAGCACTCAATTATGGTATATTAATTAAGAAATAAAATTATCTTGACCTTAAAATTAGTTTGCAACGTATTTTATGATTTTATTTAATGATTTTACGGCTGTTTCCTATTTACTTTATATTTTTTGTTTATATTTTTGTTAGCAGAATAATAATATATATTATACGTGAAAGTAAAATAGAGTTTGACCTACAATATTGTTGCATCAAATATAAGAGTACATAGAGATATTTAATAATAGTCATTATAAATAATACACAATTTATAATATTATAGGTAAAAGCATTAACTTATATTTATGATAGGTAAAAATCATATTATAGTAAATAAATTTCTAATTATGTTAATTTGTTCGTTAAAAAATTAAATTAAATCTATTTAATTATTAAAAGTTATAAAATATAGTATAGTTAAAAAGACAATAATTTAAGGTTTTAAGATTTATTAAAAAATATTAAAAATATCAAAATTAAAAGTTTAGATTTTATATGTAGCTTAAATTTAGAACTGAATATTAAGTAAACGTAAATAAATAGTAAGTGTAAACGAATTTCCAATGAAAATATGAAAATATTAAGACATCTTCGTTGTATTTTTTTTTTATGACACTAACATTTTATTAACACGTACTCATGTATTAAATAATAATATATCTGATATAAAAAACATAATTAAAGAAAGGCTAAGAAAAAGATAAGATTTTTCATATTAACACGCGTGCACATGCAAATGCAAATTGAGTATGTAACAAATGTGAATGGTTAATTAGTTTAATTAAAGTGCTAAAGCATGTTAGCTGCAGAAATTGAAAGAAGCCAAACAAAAACTTGTTAGCATAATCCATATTTAATTATTATTAAGAAAACAAAAGTAGGGTAAAGTATTGAAGTTAATGTATGTGTGAATAGTGTTGGGTCTGTAAAGTGAAAGGGAATATCCCCAAAGAGAAGAATCCTGTGACATAAAACCAAACACATCCAAACTTAGCTTAAATATAATCATAATTAAGACTCAAAATAATATATTAGTTTGGTCAGTGATTGGAGCCATGAAAACTGCCAAAAGACACCTTCTCTCTCATAATTTTTTATTTATTTATTTGGTTATTTAAAATCTTTTTCTTTGAACTAAGAACATCTCAAAAATAAAGTTTTACCAAGAGTTAATTTAAAAATAAAATTAAATATTTTATTATAAATTTTACAATTGAGTACTTAAAACTTCATAAATATTATTTTAATTTTAAACAATTTTGTCCATTTTTAAATAATTCAACATGAAATTTTTAATAAAATATTCACTTTTATTTTTAAACCATTTTTAATAATAACTTCCTTTCTGAAACCTATAATATTCATTATGTTAATTTTTTTATTAACACTCGTAATTTTGACTCACGTACAATTCTGTCAATTTTTTTATTAACCTTTTTAATTTTTACCGACATAACAAATATTCATGTGATGTGATATCGTTCATAATTTATCATATTTAACTGAATTAATTAAATCGATTTATTTTATTTTAATCTAGTAGCTAAATTTTAATACACGAAAGTAACATCAATTTTTTTTTAATTTAAAATTACAATTGGGTGCAAAATTACATTTTCTTCAATTTTATTTGTCTTCAAAACCTTGGCCACTTTTTGTTTTTAACTTATATATGGCGTATCTATAATTTTTTTAAGTATCGATTTTCATGATAAAAAAAGAGTTCACTCTTCGTACAAAACGTTATAATTGCTATGTCGAGGCATGAATCGAATGCGTTTTGGGTTTAGAAAATGAAGGTGATAGCTTGTTTTATTTGGAAGTTTATCAAATTAAATTAATATTTTTTCATAAGAGGTTATATAATAAAAATATTTAATTTTATTTATTATTAATGAATAATTTGATATTAGACTGAGAAAATCAGTATATAAATTCTGAATTACGAATTCAAACTAATTGAAATAGTTTGCTAAAAAAAATCGGAAAATAACGCTAAACTAATATTTCTCACAAAAACATTTCGTAGATAAAAAGGTGGAAAACTAATTTTCTTGAATTAAAATAAAAAAATATTATGTTATTTTTATTGAATAAATTAATGTGATAATAAATTAAAAATTAATTTTTTAAGTAATATGTCACCTTTTATTTCTAAAAAAAATTATATAATATCATTAGAAATAATTTTTAAAATCAAATAAAATTTAATCATTTTTATTGACCATAATTTATAATTTTCAAGAGCATAATGTATTATAGAAAAAGGTATGGTTAATGAACTGGGCTATTACTGATCTATGAGCCTAATATAGTCTACGAAATTTACGGGACTATAATTTTTATAATTATTCATTCTCTTTGCATCTTCTTGATTTTTATTCTTTTCAGACTTTATACTTTTTATATTTAAAATATAGTTTTTGAAATATAAGAACACATTGAAAGACAAGGTTATACTGATAATTAAGATAATTTTATACTGTAATACGATAATAAATTTTATATATATATATATATATATATATATATATATATATATATATATAATATGAAAACATGTGTTTCTATATTTTTATATTATTAATTTTTTTAAATAATTATTTTTCTTTTAATTTTATTTTATATTTTTAATATATTATCTATCTCAATTTTTATATATTATATTTTTTTTTCATTTTTGTGATATCTTTCGTTTTTTCCTAAATATATAATTATTTTTCTTACAGAACACTGAAATCAATTATAAAAATGTGAATTCTTTTGTATATACTAAGTGTAAATACATAATAACCAACGTATCATAAAAATGATAACAAGACATTAAAAACAGTAATAAAAGTATGAATTCTTTTATATATAATAAATATAGATATATAAAATAAGGATAAAGAAAATAGAAAGATGTAAACAAAGTGAGCCAATTTGAATTACTGGCTCAAAGATGGGCCTTGTAAAAATAACTTGGGCCAGACCCAGACCTCTCCGATCAGAAAACCCTAGAGAAACACGAAAGGTTGTGAATTATTGCAGTGAATTGGATTGGGTTGTAGCAGAAGCAGAGAAGCATGGCGATTATGCCTTCTCTTGCAGTTCCTTCAACTCCCATGATTTGGGTACGCTTTTATTCGATTCCTTGCTTTCAATTAGAATATCGGCTCATGGGTAAATTATTTTATGTCTTATATATCAAACAATATTCAATTTCTTTTTCATTCTTAATTTAATCAAAATGAAACACAAACTTTTAATGAAGTGACATTCAATTCGTTGCATTGTGATTATTTGTGCTTTGTGTAGAAGGAAATTTGTGTGTTATCTAAACAGAATATAAATTTGACAATGTGTTAAGAACTACTATTCTAGAAAGGGAAATTAGGACAAAGATTCTAAGAATGAAAATATTTGGTTATAGAAAGATACCTGAGTTTGCATTGAGAGAAAATTGGTTTCAGAGGAAAAGAAGGATTGTGGACACAAAACGGTTCAGAAATGAAAAAAATGAAAAAAGAAGAAGTGAATACCTATTAAGAGGAAAAACTAGGAAGTGAACATAATGAATGGAATGTGTTAAAAGTTTAATCTTGGTGCACAAATCTTTAATGTTGAATGGAATGCTCAAGAGATTAATTTTGGTGCACATATTTTTAATGTAAGGGTAAAATGTGTTACAGGTTCCTCAATATTTAAGTAAACTTGATTGTCCTATAGTTTTTAGGATATATAAATAGCCTTCCATTTTTATGTGGGAGGGATTCCACTGAAGTTGCAGTCCCAAAAATTTATGATTTATGATATAACACAAGTGGCTGAAGTTTCTTTCAGTTGTAGTGATTACTTTCCTTTCTTGATTAGGTAAAGCTGTTTCAATGCCAACCCTGCCAATTCCATAGATGCTCAGAAATATATCTTCCACGTCTAACAAGAACTAGATCATTCAAAGTATCAATGGCAGACAATAATGAACCGAAGGAGGTTAAGATGAAGATTAGAATCATAAGGGAGAAACTCAAAGAAGCAATGCCAATCTCAGTTCAAGAGTTTCCTTGGAAAAAGGCTGAGCATATACTTCTAGAGAGACTACTTAATTTTGCCCAAGAGGGAGTGAAGTGGTCTCTTGTTTTGTTTTTCATTTTTAGCTTTGTATCAGATGTTGTATATACTTTGTCCATAAACCGTGAGCTGATAATTCCTGTTGGCCTCTTTGTTGGCTGTGTTGTGGCTGATTTCTTGAAGGAGATATCACAAGAGTTGTTTCATAGATCTGAGGTATATTTTGAAATTGCTGTGCATTTCATCATCAGAGCCATATTCAGATTACTTGTTTCTTTGTTTATGACAATCTACTGATTGTTTTGCTTTGTTTGCTCGTGAATTTGTATTTGTCAGGAGAAAGATTTGAAATGGCATCTTTTGGGAATGTACTGCATTTTTGTGTTTGTCAAAATCATGTCCACATGGTTTGCAACACTACCTCGTGTGTTTCTTTTGCATGTTGCAAGTGGGGGACTGATGCAGGTTTTGTGGCGTTGGAAAATTTTTATAGAAGATGCAAAGAACCAACAAGAAATGAGTAACTTCTCTCATGTAGAGACCTCATGATAGATGAATAGGAAAGTGAAGTTTTTTGGTACATTTATGAGCAGATTGATACATGATTCTGGTGATTCTTGTATCGTTTAGTACCATATTCTCACTGAGGTTATTTTTACTTAAAAAGTGACTTGAAGTAGTACAATGCAGCAGAATGTAGTCATTGGAGATGAAAAATGACAGCAGAATGTATGAAAAGTGACTTTTATGTTTTTGTACATTATAATTATTTAATGTCTTTTTTGTTTGTCTTAAATTGAACAAGAAAACTATCAATAAAATACCCGAGATTAATTCCTTACACCAGGCATATTGTTTGGATAGAGGAATTTCACCAGGGAGATTGTTTAAACAGAGGAAAAGAGGGTGGAGGGGAGAAAGATTTTGAAAGTTAAGATTAATTTAATTAATTTTAAAAAATAAATAATAAAAATAAATAATGAATGATCAAAATATTCTTATGATTATTTAGTTTAGAATAAATATAAATTAAAATTAAGATATTATAGGATATGTGATAATTATTTTAAAAATTTTAAATAATATGAAAAATTATTAAAAAATTAAATTATATAAATAAATAATGTAATTTAGTATTGAGCCTTATTGTATTATTTAAAAAAAAGTACAACCTAACTATCATTTAACTTTAATATAAATATTTTTATTATACTTAAATTTATAATAACATTTTTATTAATATAAATATTAATATAATAAATAAAGTAATTATTCTTACATGATTATATTTTAAATCTCTCTCTCTCTATATATATATGTATTTATATATATGTGTATTTATATATATATATATATATATATATATATATATTATTTTATTAAAAGTATTACTTTTAAAATAAAATATTTCAATGAGTAATTTAATTTTAAAGTTAATATTTATTTAAAATCATGTAAATAAATTATGTGGTATTTTTTTATAATCTTTGTTACCTAATAATTTATTATATTTGCAAAGATACTTATTTGGACAATGTAAAAAGGTATTTTAGACAATTCATTATGATTGATAAATTGGCTTTCCACTTAAATCTCACCAATTTAAACGAGAAACATAAAATTTAAGCTGATCATTTCATTTTTCACATATTTCTGCAAAATTCTTGGATCCAAACCAGTATCATTATTTCAAATCAGCTCCTTCACTCGCTCTTGAAAAGTACTATCTGGGAATCAAACAGAAGCTAAAAGGAAATGGTAGCATATGAAAAATACAACTGGATAAAATCATTTTTAAAAGTAAGATTTTCCTGAGCACAACATAAATTTTAGATATCCAAAATTATAAACATAATGTAAAAGAAACGGATATATTTATCATGTAAAAGAAAAGAGGGGCTAAACCTTTCATGAGTTTCCTTCAATTTAACGTTTTTTCCCCTTTTAGGATGATTTTATTCCTCCAATGTGGTCTCCTGGTCTACAAGATACAATTTGTTTTCAATTTCACATTTTTATAAAATTTAGTCACTTTTGATGACATTGTTGAATTCTTACATGTCTATTCACAGTTAATTGAAATCTGTTTAAAGAAGCCTACTATTTACAACTAAAAAATTAATGAACAATATTATATCAAGAGACTCTCTTCTTCATCTATAATTGAATAATTGTTTATGCACAGGGACCTGTAGTGCAGTCATGATATTTCTTATACAATGTACAGCATTTTCCGAGTACTCATAGATTTACACCAAGTACAGCTTTATCCGAATTCAAACTCAACGAGCGTTGAACAGGGCGTTGTCTATCCTTTTTAATAATTTCATTGCCTGAGTGAAAAACAAACACTACTAAGAGTCAGTTTGTTAGAAAAGAAAAAAAAAATTTAAGTTACGAATAGGAAGGATAAAAAATAAGATTTATATAAAGTAAAAATAAACGTGTTAAGATTGAAAATAAAATAAATTGATAAAAGCTTAAATAAGTGAATGAAAGTGGATGAGAAATACAGGGAAGAAAGCGAGTGAATCTCACCTTTTTTTTCCTATTTCTCTGTCTCTTTTTTTTTTTTTTTAATTTCTTTCTATCAAACAAACTCGTTTAATTTTTCATCTCCACCTTTTTTTCCTATTTCTCTGTCTCTTTTTTTTTTTTTTAATTTCTTTCTATCAAACAAACTCGTTTAATTTTTCATCTCCACCTTATTTCCCTTCTACCAACAAAAGATAAGTTAATAAAAATTATTCAAAAAGTGAAATCACAGTGAGTAAATGTGTAGGAAAAAAAAGTATTTCCTTTCTTATTTAATAAAGAAAATAATAATAAAAATGTTATATTTTACTAAATCTTACATGCTTTATTTTCAATTAATATATGAAGAGAAAGAGTAGAAAATGTAAAGAAAAAATGGTGTTTTTCAAAATTATTATTCTCTCATCTCTTTACAAAATAAATATATAAATAATTTTGTAGTTTTTCAATTATTTATTTATTAATTTTAGAAATGATTTTTTTTTATATTATTTTCTCTTCAGTCAAATAAGGCTATTTGCATATTCTATTTTCTCTCTTTTTTTTTCTGATACTCTTCTTTTTCCCTTTCAATTGGGAAACAATGTTTTTTTAACAATTAAGAAAAATTACTGTAACAAAAAAGGAGTATCAATGATTTTTAACTATTAAAACGTTATAGAGATACCAAGATGAGGAATAGTCTTTGCAATTTGAGCTCATTGAATGTCAGTGTAATTTACTCTTAATATTAAACCTAACCTTTCTCCATATCTTGTGATGAAGATTGACCTCTGTCCATGTCCTCGTGACGTTTGACGCATTCGGGTTGGCTTGAGGCATGCTGCATTAAACTGGGTTGGGTGTAGGCTACAGGCAAATGTTCATAAATCTCGTCCATCCTCCCACAGTGCTCATCCCTTAGATCCATATCAATAATAACCTAAAGCAAACTTAATTAATTCGAAGGGGTGGAATGATAGACAAGGGGGTAGGTGAGGACAGGGGCAGTGAGAAAGGGAGTTTTACCTGTGCTGAATTGCTCCTGAATATAGGGAGAAACCGTTGCCTACAATACTGGTGAAATAGAAGCGTACCAATCAACAACGGAATGGTGAATCCAGATGCAACCGATGACCTTTTAAGTCCAAACACCCCCAGCGCGATAAGTTGAGAAAATAACAACGAAAACACCGTAGTGTTGTGAGCAATAGGCCAGAACTGTCCCCCACTATCGTATTTTGTAATGTACACGTTAATAATCTGAAAAGAAAAATGATTTAATGGAAAATTTTTGTGATGGATAAAAAAAAAAAAATAATCAAAGAATCACTGACATAGTGTGTGTAAAGGGAACAAATGGACACGTTCCATTCCATTTCATTCTATCATTTGTCACTAATCGGAACATTAAATAAGCATAAATTCACGTCATAAAATGGACTGCATAATTTATTTTAGTTAGCATCCTAGAAACAAAACAAATAAACAAATCAAATACAGTTGAATGTAAAGATGTAGGGATAGATAAATAATTTCCTTTCCTTTCTTTTCTCCATCTGAGTATTTGTAGCTAAAAAATTGACGGAAGTAGTTGGATTTGAGTGTCACTCACACACACCACTATAGAACAATTATTGTTGTAAAAAAAAAATGAGAACTACAGTTATAGAAAGTTAATTCATGTTTACACGATTAAAATTAAAAAAAAAAAATCATCATTTTTTCAAGAAACCATGCTATCATTAACTAATTTTTTATCATACATGCAATCATATTTCATGATCAAATTTCTTAAAATAATTGACATCGTTCAGTCTTATCTTTTTATTTAAAACATAAATCTTTTATTAATAAGATCTCATACGAGCTATGACCATCAAGTTATAATTCTCAGCTTCCTTTGTCAATTCCTTTATATTATATTTGTTTTACATGGGAAACCGGACTATGCATCCCTTCGTCCCCACTGTTTTTTCTCAAAAAAAAAAAAAAAAATCTTAGTTGCAATCAATTTACTTCACCTATTTTCCAATCACTAATCACTCGAAAATTGTTAGGAAACAATCACTACTCAAATCTAGTAATTATGTACCGTTAAGTTTATTAGATAAAACGTAAAATAAATACAAGAAAAAAAAAACATTTCAATTAGTTGAGTTTTTATGCATCAACCAAATAATTAAATGTAATAAACTCCATAATGAGGAAAAAAAAAGACGAACACATGATAGATGTACATCTACTAACCTGGTTTCGGTAAACAAGGTAAGCAAGGAAAAAGTAGAACAACAAGAAGGGTAACATCAGGGGTGCCAGAATAGAACAAGTGAAGCCGAGGAATCCAAACAGTAATACTCTTGGAACTTCTGTATGATACGGAAAAGATAGGGTGCCATCCAGTGCATCTTCCTTAAGTCTGAGGATGAGTCTCTGGAAAATATTGCATAGAAGAGGAAAAATTTGCATAACTTCATATGCCAAACTCGCCCAACCAGAGGATAAAACGTAAGTTGTGAAGAAAGTAGCCTGTATACCATGAAAAGGCCAAAGCAAAGTGAATAACTAATTACAAAGAGTTACTTATTTATCTCTTCCAAAAATGGGTAGAAAAGGGAATCAAGTTAACAAGTCAAGTGTATACACTATTCAGTGTTGCTTAAACCCTAATATATCCAAGTGCATAAAAAAAATTTCAAATACAATATAAAAACTCTATATAAGATATCCAGAGAATAAGTCTAATAAAGGTCGAGATTAAAAATCACACTATTTTTGTAGGAAGTAAGATATATAACCTGCGCTGGCACTGCCTTGGCAAGTTGGGCGGGCAGATCTGTTACGCTAGAAAAAACTGAGAGTTGACTGATAACAGAACCAGTAAATACATTAACAAAAAACACGTTCCAAATTGTGAAGTATATTACTTTACAACATGCACTCTTCTTCCTTTCACTACGAGAAATAGAACCCTCCACAGAAGAAAATAGCATCATCACAGGTGGAACTGCGCACAAAAATAAAACCAATATCACGCTTGGTAGGTAACCAGTCACCACCTGATTCACAACTTTCCTGCAAAAGAATGAGCCAATTTACAGTGAACTTCATAGCATTTTTAAGAAATACCTCATTATACTAGTTTCTGATAATTTCAATTTTAAAAATAAATCATGGCTATAAATGTCAAATTTTTAGCATGTCCTTATGTGAGAAATTATAAACTAAGAATAGGCGGAGTAGAAGGACAATCAATGACCAACTTTAACTTGCATGCGAATAACTTACACTATCACTTCAAACAAGCAGCAGATATAATAATAACCTAAAGGCTAAACCTATTCCTAAACTACAGATATTTTTATCAAACTTATTTTTGTATTTATTACTAAAAATTTAATTGCTTATTAAAATGAAGTTGTACATTCATCAATTACTTTAATGCAGAATCATGCAAGTTAGAATGAAGTTTTGCATTCAAATTGTCATGCATAATTCTTTCCTTCAAATCTTGATAAAAAAATTAAAATAAAATTTGTCATTCTAAAAGTATAGAAGTCCATGACATAAATATATGCAGCAACATCTTACTCTTCAAGTATCCCTCTTAGAAAAGGGAACATTTTCTGTACTTTGTCTAGTTGAGTCAAGCCTTGTACAAATGTAACAGGAATAAGGAACACAAGCATGAAGGCAATAGAGGCTACAAGTGTAGCTATCTTACGAATCCAAAGTTGCCTATAAGGTATGCAAATATTGGACCAATAAACATCATGTGGTTCGGGAGCTACATCTGTCACCCATAACATAGGATTTGGTGTCTGCAGTACCTTTGCAGCCATAAGAGCAGCATACCGACTTTTAAAGAACACAAAAGCAGCGGGACATTCCTGTATCGATGATCAAACCTGAATTACAAATTATTCGACACAATTTGTTGACATCACACAACCTGAAATACTTCTACAGCGACTGAATGAAAATTAAAAACAATGGCATCATATAAACAAAAAATCTCATTACTTAATGATAAACAATAATAATAATAATATAAGCACACAGAAGAACGGAACAATAATCATAATGAGACAACATAGTTTTTTTATCCAACTATGACTGCTTCGTATTTGGCTAACACGCACGTAGGAAACATCAGACATATTTGAATCTCCCAAGAAATTAAATTAGAGATAAATTCAAAATCAAGAAATTAAGATTGAAAGTGTCACAAATCAATCCAAAATATGTAGTGAACTTCCAACCCCAAGAAGGCAAACACCTTTTTACCGTGTAGGCATGTACCACTTCATGTCTCCTGAATTTGGAAAACATCAATTAACCTAGTAAGTATACTTGTTCTTCTCAAAATTATAATTTTTCCAGTTATTAGGTAGCAACAAGACTGGTTCCTTTATCTGTAGCACACTCATTCACAGAGGAATCATTTAGATAAGAAACATGAAGAATGCAATGACTAAATTTACCATGTAATCATATTTATTTATTTAACTACTTTTGCAAATTTCATGTAATCATATTTAAGGTTCCAACACCTTGTCGAGAACCAATTGATTAACAAAGCTTATACCATTATGCGTAGCTTCTAAAATGGCTTTTATATCTCGAATGGACCTAAAACAATGCAGCTATATCAATGATAATTTCTTCGTCCATGTCACGCTAGGAACTTCCTTTTCAACATTCTCATTGAAAAGGCAACAATATATTACTTTTGATTTAAGGCTTGGACAAACTTCTGTAAAGAATATAAGTTTCAATTAAAATTTGCCTAGTTTGAATTGGGTACAGGACACATACAACATTGAACCAGAGAGAATATAATTATGTTTATCACTGCAAGGCAAATAAAAAATAGTGACTTATATTCAGAAATTAGTGTCATGTTGATTTTTTTCCCCTTTACATACAACAATATCAATGGATCTCGATCACATTGTCAATTTCTGAACATGGTATTTCGGTGACAAATAATGACACAGAACGTTTGCATTTTGTCATAAGTATATAAACCAGTGCAGCCAAAAAAATTACCTTTTTTGCTGGATCTAGATGCATATCAGTGTTGCCCGTTCTACCATTAACACTATTCATTTCAGTAGAAATCTTCTTAAAAGAATTTGTTAGTGCTCCAGAACAACAAGGCCTAAAACTTGACTTACAAGTCTTTTCCAGTGAAACAACTACCTTACACATATGTTCAGCATCATCCTGTGGGAAGAAGATTAGGGTAAGTATAAGTAGTTGTTTTTGTCAACAGGAGTGGCACAAGTTTATAGTCACAACAATATCTCCCTTTATAAAACATATCTTGTCTTTTATTGTGAGACCACACATCATCTTAACATCGTATGTTTTGCCACACCAACTTTTTTTCTTATCCCTTTAAAGCCTAACATTCATTACATAGAGTATAACTAGTCATGTATTGGTAATGATAAAACTAAATGTATATTCAAGAATGTCAAAATGAGGAAGGAACTTCCATTTCTACTTAGAATTCTAAAAAAATTTCAAGTTCACTACAGAGAAAAAGATACAGTACCATACGAAATCTCCCAATGCATATAGATTTAGAATTCAAAGAAATGTAGATACTCGTTTACGTATAAACATTTATATTGGCTCTCTGTACCCTTGAACCAAATAATTATCTTCTTAGATTGATAGAATATAGGAATAACACATATTGACAGTTATGACTTTACAAAGTGATGGTGATCTAAGCAATAAAATTTACATAAATATGAATTTGCAAAATGACAATGAAAATATTTAAAGGAGTTAAGAAGCCCACCTTCAGTTTTTGAACTGTACCAGACTTATAAATCATTTGGTGTGACAAATATGTTGATGCATGGTAATGTGAAAAGAACTTTTTCACGGTTTCACAGTATGATTCTTCAGAAGACCAGGGAATTGATCGGACAAGAATTGTAAAATGACTTGGATTTGGAAGTGATCCAATAATATGTAGTAGCCTCAAATTAGTAATGCTCTTATATTCCTAAATATAAACACAGATAAATCAATATTTAAGAATTGACAAAGTAAAAGTAAAAATGGTAGAGGATGTATATCTTGAAGATAAATTCAGATCCTTACGAAGTATAGAAGAGTACAAGCCGAGAATGTTATGATGTATAGTGCAAGACAATGAGCCCAAAGCCTGAGGACACGCAAAAGAATAAAAACAATATATAAGTAACCAGTTTGGGGGTGTATTCAGGAATAAAGTCTTCAATTACTACTTTATTAGCATCTTAAAATAAAATTAAAACAACATAACAAATAAAGTTCTTGGATCAATAAATATTATAATATCACCTTTTCTTGCACACACTTCATGTTTATTGTTTTGGGAGAGAAAAAACAACACAAATATACCCCCCCACCCTCCCTTAATTGAGTAGTTCATTAATCTATGAGGAGGAAAGTAAAGCAGATCCACATTTTTCTTTGAGAGCATAGTTCATTACTGCTTATGAAACCTAAAGTAACCTAATATATATTTCGAGTTGTATTTCTCAACTAGTACACATAATTACCTATTCTAACCGAATTAACATTATTAACACTTCAATTGAAAAGTATGATATAACTCTAAGTCTTACCACGTTGAACCTTCTTTGACATTCTCAATGGTAAATACTTCCAGAGACTCAAAAGGTATGTTCTTATGCAGTTCGCCCATACCATGATAATTTATAGGAAGTACTAGAGCAATGCAGATGACAGCAGCAATGGAAAACACTCGAATACTGTAGGAGACAATGGCAACATTACAGTTAGTAAAGTTACAAGATGGACCATCAAATATCCTTCAGACTTAATTATTTATTTGATACGCTTTTGAATGTAATTGGTAGGTTGAAATTTGGTAGATTTCAGATTAAAAAAACACTAGCACAACGTTCATCAAAATGACATAAGGCACACAAATAAAGCTATTCCTTAGAAGGGCCGAATAACCTGAACACAACCATCCTAATAAAAACCACAGCATCCAAGCCACCAATAGCTAGTATCTCATCCTCAGACGTTTCCCATGCTTTCAATATCCAACTAGGGGAAGGAACAAATCTTTCCAAGCAGAGATCGATGCGTCTTGAATGCTGAGAGGCTACTCTCCTTCCAAAGTAAACGTTAACATTGCTGGGTTGTTTTCTTAATACGGAATAAAATGAAAAGAGCACCACACAGAGAGCAATATTAATTCCAGCAGAAGTTAAAAGAGCACCGATGTTCATCCCTGCTCACTGTAGTTCAAAACTAGACGCATCTCATTACCCCAGAAGAAAGACATTAGAAATCCAAATCATGTCCATCACCTGAAAGAGTATATATTCCAACCAATGTCTCAGTAAGAAATGAATATTTTTGCACAGCGTATCAACGATGCAAAATTGAAAGACCTCTTTTATTAATTTGTTAAGGTGCAGCAGTATGATATTTGTCTATAACTATCAGATTTTTCACTATTCCACAATCGGCAACAGTACAAAAAAGCAAAATTCATTTGGAAGTTCTAATAATAACAGACACACTTGCTGAGAGCTAAAGAAGTAAAGCTTAAATAACTGTAAGCAAGATTTATCTACTTCGACAATATTCTACTATCTTGGCTCAGTGGCTCACCTTTTCATAAACTTAGAATAAAGTTTCATAAACTTCTCAATACCTTTTCAAACTTACTAGCAGATACTAACAAAAAACTTATTTAAAAGTTGCGTTTAGAATCACTAAATCTGTAACTCGCATTACAGAATTGATTTACCAAAAAAAACTCCATTGTTCTTCAGAAAACAATTACACAATAAAGACAATTTCAATTGATCTTACATCCGCTATTTTACTTAATTACCCCATTTACAATAAGTAAGGGACTTAACAAATATGGGCAGAATAATTATTTTATCTCAAACACATTCCTGAATGCTCAATTTTACTAATTAATTAATTAATTAATCCGATGTCGAATTCGCAAAACCATACTTAGTTCCCATGCTAGAAGAGATAAAACTGAATAGTACACAAAACTAAAAAATGCAGGGAATGAAAGCCAAAAAAGAAGAAGCAAAACTAGTTCAGTAAATCACAATCAGTTTCGCTAATTAGTAAAATAAAACAAACAACATCCTACAGTTATTATCCGTCTAAACAACAACACTAGATTCAAGATTTCACACACATCGCCAAAACAGATACAAAGTAACACAGCTTTCAAACCAAGCACAACAGGCTCAAAAAAAAAACTCGGAATCAAACAAAACTCCCTAGCAACAAAAAAACAAAACGAAAATGGTTAACTCTAAATGAATCGAAGAAAGAGACAAAATCGAAACGACTGTAGAAGGAAGCAACATTCCGAATCCGAATCTAAATCCGAAGAAGAAAAGAAGAGAGAGGTATAATGTACCAGCACAGCGATGCGCATTTGCAATTCGTTGACGAAGATCAATCAGCGATGCACAGTGGTGGCATAATAGAAGAATCCAGAAATAAATAGTAAAAATGCAAAACAAAGAAGATGAAGAAGAAGGTTAGGTGACGCTGAAAAGTCAAAACTCGCAGAGCAATGCCGCGAGCCTTGCTTTTGCTTCTACTTCACAGGAACGCAGGTTTATAATAGTACAGCAAAAGGTTTGATTCCAAGGCAACAAACAAAAATGAATCCCTAAGTTTTGGGGTTTGTTTGTTTGTTTTTCTTTTTCTCACCCCCTCCTTTTTTTTTGGTTTTTCAGTGACTGCATTATCAGTTCCTTCTGTATATTTTTTCTCTGAGCAGCCAACAAACCCCTAAATAGCTAAAGCGTATACGTAAGAATCAGAAAAAGCCACGTTACGAAATCGCGTTTGTGAAGCGTAAAATAATGATTGATCAATATAAGAATGAAATTCGAAAGCGGGAGTAACGGCTTCGCCACGTGGCGGACACCGAGGCGCCAACCTCAAGTGTCTGATGCGGAGCGTCTAACTAACCACTCGAACATGCTACACAAAAGAACGTTTTCTATACAATGCACCATGGGCCACGATATGACGATGTACCCTCGCCGTTCAAGATAAGCCACGTGGATGTTGATGAAACTATTGGCTCCTTGTTGCTCGCTTCGATTAAAAATGGTGTGCCATCTCGTAGCGTAGTGTTTTTATTATTAATGGCTAAGTTGTGGGCTCAAAACACGTGTTGGTCGGTTGATGCCTACCATAAAGTGGGCCCACTGTTGAACAAATAGGAGAAAATGGCTTTCGTGTTCGTTTCAAATTCATTCCCCTCCATGAGAATTAGTTGTCTCTCCACATTTCTAAACCATTCATAAAAACAATGGAACACAATAATTATTCTATTTTATCATAGGAATTATCCACTTTACATTATTATTATTTTGGTAAAAAAATTATTTAATTATTACAAAAATCCCATATTCAAAATAATTAATATTTTATTTCATAATATATATATATATATATATATATATATATATAATATTATGATACTTTAAATTCATATCATTTTTTATTTTTTTTATATCTCAATATTATTAAAAATAATAAAATATTTAATTAAATTTTACAGTTTATACTCATTTATATATATATATATATATATATATCTAATTAATATACTATTTCATCTTACTTTTTATCTTAAAAGAATAGTTTTAATATCTTTTCTTTTTTATAAGAATTTTTTAATGTCTAGAAGGATAATTTTTTTCTTTGTAATAATAATTTTCTAAATGTATGAACATGAAAAATTATACATATTTAAACCGCGTTTATATCCAACGTCAATAGAAAGGAACTTTGTATACTTGTAAATTGAATTTGAGGACAATTTTTGTATATATTGCATTGGTTTTTAACAAAAAGATTAATAAAAAAAATGTGGTCAACAATATTTCATGTGGGAATAATGGAGGTTGAGAAAAACCTTTATGGAAATTGAAGGAAAGAATATTTTATTGAGTGATTGGGTTGTTGCAAATCTAAGATAATGTTGGCATTAAGTCAAATATAATCAACTCATCTTTTAAATGTGCATAGATTTTTTATGTGAAAAATCACACCCTACTTTAAAGTCAAATAAAATTAATACATATTAAATGCAAATAACACTTACACCACCTTTTCCAGTGGAAGAATAGGTTCATTTTGTGTAACACGTATAAATAATAAGGTGACATATGAAGTAGAAGATTCAGAGTTGGTTTTAACAGGATTGTAAGTGGCAGAGGACCCACAACTTCTGGAATTGAGGAAAGCAAAAAGAATCAGGAAGAAGAATGTTTTTCTACGGGATTTTGGGGAGTGAAAGGGGATTGGAAAGGAATGTACTGGTGTGGTTTCGAGCCGAGGATGTTCTGGAGCTGAATCTTTGGCCTTTTATTTGAGACTCTCATTCTGTTTATTTCCTTAGTTTTTAAATTACACAAATACTGTTTACTTTGTGTTTGTTCAAAAGATTTTTAAGAAAATTCGGGAAAATACCACACCATTCTATTATCTTATCATGTGACATTTTGGTGTTTTCATTGACGACGTCAAATGGTTGAGAATACATGTCTGAAAGACTTGCAAAATCAAATTACCTATCAAAGTGAAGAACTCAGCAGATTGATAACCTTGATGGAACTCCATGATAAGGCCCAACAGATCGGGATTTGGCACAACAAGAAGCGGTGAATCAGTTCCAAACCACCACTCATGACCGACTGAACCAGATGCAGAAAGCAATGGAAACGTTGATTCCCAATTCTTCTCAACAACCTGGTGTTCTGAACTCAAGCTCGAATTCAAGATTTCACGTGAAGGATATCTCACTAGGGTTTCCGTATTTTGATGGCACCACACCGATGTTGGAATGGATTTTTAAAGCTGAAAAGTTTTTTAGTTACCATAAAACGCCGGATAAGGAGAGAGTGGATATTGCTGCTATTCATTTTGAGAAAGAAATCGATCCCTGGTTTCAAATGTTTCAAAGATTGAATGTTATTACTTCATGGAGTGACCTCACAACAACTCTGGAGTCTCAATTTGGCCCATCTTTATTTGATTGTCCAACCTAGGAGTTGTTCAAACTACAACAATCTGGTAATGTTTCGGACTATTATCTCAGATTTATGGCCCTGGCCAATCGGTCCTCTGGACTGTCCGTTGAGGCTTTACTCCACTGTTTTATTAGCGGCTTACATAGGGATATTCGTCGAGAAGTGATTGTTCACTGTCCCACCACTCTATTACGTGCCGTCTCCTTAGCTAAATTATATGAGGAGAAATATCAACTAGTGAGGCATGCCAAACCTTCTTCTCCTTATACTCCCAAGTATTCTACTATTGCTTCCAGCAGTAGTAGCGTGGTTCCGCTAAAACCAACCTCATCGTCCACTTTGTTACCACCCTTGTTACCTACACCTTCCACCAAAATTCTTAGACCTACTCCTGTAAAGAAGATCTCTCCAGCCGAGATGTAATTAAGAAGGGAAAAAGGGTTGTGTTATTTATGTGATGACAAATTTACATTTAATCACAAATGTCCCAACAAACACATGTTGATGTTACAAAGTGAAGAGGAGTCAGTCGACCCAACACCGTTATCATATATGGAGCCTACGGAGGTTATTCAGCAATCCATTGACAGTCAAGAGGTTAATCCTCATTTATCTTTAAATACATTAAAGGGTGGATTGGGCGTTGGAACAATACGTTTTGCAACGATCATTCGCAATTTAACAATTCAGGTGCTAGTGGATGGAGGGAGCTTTGATAATTTTCTTCAACCCCGAATTGCAAAGTTTTTAAAATTAGATATGGAACCTGCTCCTGTGTTTCGTGTCATAGTGGGAAATGGGAGTTATATGGTTGCAGAAGGCTTAATTCCATAATTAAATATTCATGTGCAAGGAAGCAATTTCACACTACCAGTTTATCTCCTTCCCATTTTTGGTGCAGATTTAATTCTGGGTGTTAGTTGGTTGAAGACAATTGGGCCGCATATAGCCAATTATGAGTCTTTACAACTGAAATTTTTATATTAGGGACGTTTTATCACTTTGCAAGGGGATGCGCATCACCGAAGCTCATTTTCATTATTTTAAGAGAATGATTTATACTGATTCCATAACTGCACTACTCAGCAGAATTGTTACATGCTTACATCTCCCTTTTTAATACACCTACTTCATTGCCACCGCAGAGAAGGCATGATCATGCTATTCCTTTGGTTGAAGGGTCGCTTCCTATTAAG